AAGTATCCACATTCTGTAGGGAAATAAATTTTTCACAAAAGCTTAAATAGAGTATGATTTTTATATAAAAACATAGAAGTATATTAAAAGGCAAAATGAAAGACAGATAATAAGAAATGGAGAGATAAATAATTTGCAAAAGAAAGGGAGACCTAGAGATTATGGGGAAAGAGGGAAGGAGTGAAAAAAGAATTCATTTATCATATGCACAGTACACTTAACAACCACCCATGATGAATGTCACTATTATGTACTGGAAACTGTGTTAATAAACATAAAAGCTAAAAGTTTTTAAAATGTAAGAGGGTAGATAAAGACTGACAGATAGATAATGACATTTAAAAATGAGAGACTCATTTCCAGGCAGCCACATGAACACTGGCTCTGTTTTCTTTAGGCAAAGAACAGAAAGCAGCAAAGTCACACATCTCACTGCAGTGAGAGACATCTAAAAACCTCTCCTGTGTGTCCAGGGCCTGGATCTGGAGACTGATTCTTTACAAACTAAAAGAGCACAGGCCTAGACAATGGGTATAATGTTTACCAAGCATCAAATCCTACATTGAAAACACAACTATTTAAAACACTTTTAAAATGTCACATGCTTACAAAACAATAAACATTTATGAAAAAAAAAGCATGACCTGCATATGTGGAGAAAAATGAAAGAAGATGAAGATTTAATTATGTAAAAGAACATTATCACACAATGATGTAACATATTCCCTGGAATGCTGTCTTTGCTACCAAACTTCCTCAAGACACTCACAAGAGATGCAGACCTTGCCCTCTCTGAGTTTTTCATTGACAGAGCTGTCTATATAGCAGGAAGCCATGCAAATACAGCCTGTCTGTGCTGATGAAAACCCTGACTCTGCAGCTCTGGAGAGCAGCCCAGCACTGGATGCCCAGGGGTTCCCATTCGGTGATCAGGACTGAGCAGAGACAGCTCACTATGAAGTTTGGCCTGAGCTGGGTTTTTCTGTTTGCAAGTTTGAAAGGTACATTATTTAGAACAAAAGATACTGTGGGTGTGAGTGGACTTGAGTGGGATAAACATTGAACTTGTGTTACAGTTTCCTGAGCAGGATGTCTCTGTGTTTGCAGGTGTCCAGGCTGAGGTGCAGCTGGTGGAGTCTGGGGGAGGCTTGGTGCAGCCTTCAGGGTCCCTGAAACTCTCCTGTGTGGCCTCAGGATTCACCTTCAGTAGCTATGGCATGCACTGGATTCGCCAGGCTCCAGGGAAGGGGCTGGAGTGGATCTCAGCCATCAGTAGTGCTGGTAGTAACACATACTACTCAGACTCTGTGAAGGGCCGATTCACCATCTCTAGAAACAATGGCAAGAACACACTGTATCTGCAAATGAACAACCTGCAAACTGAGGACACAGCCCTGTATTATTGTGCAAGAGACACACTGAGGGGACATCAATGTGAGCTCAGACAAAAACCTCTCTGCAGGGGCCCATGAGCCCACCAGGGATTGCCGTGACCCTTAGAGGACCAGGCAGGGCCTCAGGTGCAGGTGCAGAGAAGGAAGCAGTGGAGTGAGGGCTTCCTGTTGGCCTCTGGGGTTTCCCTTCTGGATTAACATCACATGACATGAGGATACCCTGCAATGCATGTGCTGCAGATGACTTCTGAAATATCCAAATTCAAGTAAATACTATGTTAAATTTAATAGCATAAGTACATGCTGAAGTATTCACTTTTTCATTTATTTATTTATTTATTTATTAAATTCTTTTATTGATACATTGTAGGTATAAAACACAATTACATTTCTCATTGGGAATTGTACCTTTACATAATGCATCTTGGTTCTTATTTTTTCCCCATTCCTAGCCCTCCCTTCACCCCCTCCA